GCAGCCACATCAAAGCCTGGATTTCTGGTCTTTGACTAATTCTACCATCTGCCTCCTGCTGTCCTCCCTCCAGGTTGCTGAGCACTGCAGGAGAAAATCCCGACTTGTTTGTCTAGGGGCTGCTATGCACACTTGCTCTTCAGTCCTACTCGGTTCCCTGAACCATTTGGTCTTGTCCCTCTTCCAGACATTTTTGCTTATGCTGCCTAACAGGTGCATGATCTGGGTTAGGTTCCTCCGTTGTACAGAGCCTCAGCTTCTCGATTGGTGAAATAAAGGCGATATTTGCTACTGTCGATAGGAAATGGAGGCAAGAGAAGTACTTCCATGTTCGAGGAGATGAGGGAAGTAAGATTTTCCTCTGGAGAATCCAACCATAAAGGTTCCCAGACAATGGACGTGACTGCATCTGTGGTCTCTCAGTCAAAATTGTCTGTGAATGTGTAAACTGAATGATTTGGGAATGAATGCACCCAACCTACCACCCAAAGTGGGAGAGAAGAGTGGCAGAAAATGAACTCCGCAGTGGAGACTTGGGAGAGTTAGAGAGAGAGAGAGAGAGAGAGAGAGAGCAGATTCAACGTGGACGGAGACCCTCAGGCTCCGGGCCCCAGAATCAGACCTTCGCACACCCACTTCTGCTTTGATCAGCAGGTGGGACAAGACTCCGTCTAGACACTTTCTATCTTTGCCCTTCATCTTTTTGTGTCTACGCAACACGGTGTTCTGCTTTTTCCTTTATAAATTACTTCCTTCTACTCTGCACAATTTTATTTTCTTCCATTTCTAGCTTCTTGCACAGGTGCCTAGTTCACGTAATCAATTCTTCTTTTTAAAGTAATACAAAAATGTAAACCTATAAACTCTCCTCTTAAACCTTTTGAGCTAAATTGCATGATTTCTGCTGTGCTTTTCATCCTTTCTGGTATGATGCTATTTTGGTTTAAGTTTCCTTTTTTGATCCAAATTTGTCTCAACACTTAAAATTTTCCAAGGAGTGGGAATGTTTTATTTTCCGTTTTATTGTTAATCTCCAGTTTTGATTTGTGATCAGATAATATTATCCAGATGGCTCTACTTGTTGAAATATTAAGATTATTCTCATGCGTCCCATGAACACTTGAAAAGATGCAATGTTTGTTTCAGGGCACAGAGTTTGATATATTAGATTTGCCCCATTGATTATATTTTTTTTTTTAACTTTTATTTAATGAATATACGTTTCCAAAGTACGAATAATGGATTACTATGGCTTCCCCCCCATACCGTCCCTCCCACCCACAACCCTCCCCTTTCCCACTCCCACTCCCCTTCCATTCACATCAAGATTCATTTTCGATTATCTTAATATACAGAAGATCAGCTTAGTATACATTAAGCAAGGATTTCAACAGTTTGCTCCCACACAGAAACATAAAGTGAAAAATAATAGATGATTTTTTTTAATGATGATGAAATCAGTTTGCACCCCCATAGAAACACAAAGTGCAATATATTATTTGAGTACTCGTTATAGCATTAAATCTCAATGCACAGCACATTAAGGACAGAGATCCTACATGAGGAGTAAGTGCACAGTGACTCCTGTTGTTGACTTTACCAATTGACACTCCTGTCTATGGCATCAGTAATCTCCCTATGCTCCAGTCATGAGTTTCCAAGGCTATGGAAGCCCCTTGAGTTTCCATTGATTATATTTTGAAGTCTTTTCAATTCTCATTGATTTTTTTTGTGCCCTTAATCTGGCAAAAGTGGTACCAATTAATTCTGTTCTATTCATTTACTCCTATAGTGTGATTCGGTGCATAGATTTTCCTAATTTTTTTTCTTTCTGGTGAATTTGTTTTCATTTTATAAAATGCTCTTTTAAAACTTATTCAAATGTTTTGCCTGGAACTGAACCTTGTTTGCAAGTCCTGATGGCTTGTCGTTTTGTTGTATTTCTGGTTTACCTTTTCCAGTCTTGTGTTTTTGAGCTTTCAGAATCGTTTTATGGGAGCCCTTTCTTTCTTTTTTTATAGGAAGTTTTTATTTAATAAATATAATTTCATAGATACAACTTTCAGATTATAATGGTTCTTCCCCCCATACCTGCCCTCCCACCCCCGACCATCCCATCTCCTACTCCCTCTCCCATCCCATTCTTCATTAAGATTCATTTTTAATTATCTTTATATACAGAAGACCAACTCTATACTAAGCAACGATTTCAACAGTTTGCACCCACACAGACACACAAAGTATAAAGTACTGTTTGAAGACTAGTTTTACTGTTAATTCTCATCGTACAACACATTAAGGACAGAGGTCCTACATGGGAGCAAGTGCACAGTGACTCCTGTTGTTGATTTAACAATTGACACTCTTATTTATGAGTTCAGTAATCACCTGAGGCTCTTGTCATGAGCTGCCATGGCTATGGAAACCTTTTGAATCCACAAACTCTGACCTTATTTAGACAGGGCTATAATCAAAGTGGAAGTTCTCTCCTCCCTTCAGAGAAAGGTACCTCCTTCTTTGATGGCCCCTGCTTTCCACCGGGACCTCACTCACAGAGATCTTTCATGTAGGTCATTTTTTGCCACAGTGTCTTGGTTTTCTATGCCTGAAATGGGGAGACTTTCTTGTATACAATATAGAGTGAATTTGTGGTTTGTGCTCCAATCTGATCATTGTCTTTTTAATAGTGAGTATAGGTCACTTACAAATATTTATTCATGTGAGACATTTGGTCTTAGTTCTTACTTTTTTTTTTTTAACTTTTTCAGATACTTTGTGATGTTACTTCATTTTGCTGTTGTGTGTGTGTGTGCTTCCTGATCATTTGAAAGATGTGCATTTTTGTTCTGAGTGACCATTATAATATAACCACCTGATGCTCTTAATCCTCTATTTCTTTGGGTTGTATATTGCCTCCCCACTGTATTTTTCTTTCCCCATATTCTATCCACTTTCTCTCTTTCTCTCTCTCCTCTCTCTCTCTTTAAGATTTATGTCATTTATTTGAGAGGCAGAGTTACAGAGCAAGAGAGAAAATTGGTTGCAATTGCCAGGGCTGGATTAGGCCAAAGCCAAGAGCCTGGAGCTTTATCCAGGTCTCCCATGGATCTGCTGGAGTCCAAGAGCTTGAGCCATCTTCTGCTGCTTTTCCAGGTGCATCAGCAGGAACCTGGGTCAGAAGTGGAGCATCCGGGACTTGAACCGGCACCCCTATGGAATACTGGCATTGCAGATGGCAGCTTAACCTGCTATGCCACAGTGCTGGCCCCACATCCACTTTCTTGATCATGAATTTAAATTGATTTTATGACTGTACATGAATTTCAAAACTTATTTGCATCAAAATAAACTTATCTTTTAGTTCCATTTGCCATGACATTTTCAAAGTACCTTAAAATTATCTTTATTGGTATGATTCTTTGAATTAAGACATCTGCTTAAATTTCTACTACTTGATCATTTAGCAGCAGCCTTTTGACACTCAGTTAAAGATGTGACACTTGGGGCCGGCACTGTGGCAGAGCAGGTAAAGCTGCCACCTGCAGTGCCGCCATCCCATATGCGTGCCGGTTCAAGTGCTGGCTGTGCCACTTCCAATCCAGCTCTGCTATGGCCTGGGAAAGCAGTAGAAGATAACCCAGATGCTAGGGCCCCTGCACCCGCGTGGGAGACTCAGAGGAAGTCCCTGGCTCTGAACTTCGGAACAGCACAGCTCCGGCCATTGTGGCCATCCAGGGAGTGAACCAGCAGATGAAGACCTCTCTCTCTCTCTGGCTCTTTATAACTCTGCCTTTAAATAAATATGTCTTTTTAAAAAAAAGTGACAATTATATTCATGTGAAGTTCCATTCTCCCTTCCCCTTTCAACTTTTTTTTTAATTTACATTGTTTTTTGTTTTGTTTGTTTGTTTTTGACAGGCAGAGTGGACAGTGAGAGAGAGACAGAGAGAAAGGTCTTCCTTTTGCCTTTGGTTCACCCTCCAATGGCCGCCTCGGCTGGCGTGCTGCAGCCAGCGCACCTTGCTGATCCGAGGGCAGGAGCCAAGTGCTTCTCCTGGTCTCCCATGGGGTGCAGAGCCCAAGCACTCGGGCCATCTTCCACTGCTTTCCCGGGCCACAGCAGAGAGCTGGCCTGGAAGAGGGGCAACCAGGACAGAATCCGGTGCCCCGACCAGGACCAGAACCCGGTGTGCCGGCGCCACAAGGCGGAAGATTAGCCTAGTGAGCCACGGCGCCGGCCTACATTGCTTTTAAATTGAGAGGCTTTATAACCTTTACCTTTATTCTATTATAACATATACTATCTATTTTGAAAGCAGGGAGTCAGTGGAGAGAGAAAGAAAGAGAGAGAGAGATTTTCCAACCAGTAATTCATTCCCCCAAATGTCTGCAACAGTATGAGCCGGGCCAGACCAAACCCAGGAGCCAGGAACTTCATCCAGGTCTCCTACGTGAGTAGCAGGGGCCCCAAGTTCTTGAGCCATCCCCTGCTGCCTCCCAAGGTGCACGTTAATAGGAAGTTGGAATTACGTGGGAAGTGAGGACTTCGATCCAGGAGCTCCTGTATGGGATGAAGGCATCCCAAACTGCGTGTTAACCGCTGTGCCACCCACCCACCCACACACTGGATCTCGGCATGTTATTGTGGTTTTACATTTAGTTCAATGCTGGCTGCCATTCTCTTGTAGTATTTCCCCTACGGAGATTTATTTGCATGCTTTTTTTTAACATATAAACTACTGGTTTTAAATGGCTGCGAACCTTGGGTGGGGAGCTTTCTCTCCTCCCCGACGACAGAGCAAAGCGTGGGACCATTTCTCTCCAGCATTTAGGGTCCACGCTCCTCAAACTTGCACTTTGGAAACCTTGCGCCACGGCGCCACCTCTTGGTGGAAGAGATCGCCAGTGGAGGCGACCCTGCTGTGTGGTCCTCCCACCGGGAGGGGGCAGTGAGGCCAGACGCCCGAGGCTCGAGCGCACGCTCAGGCGCGCTTTTCCCGTCGGCCACCGCACTCCCTGCCCCGCGCCGCGGAGCGCCCTGCTTCTTCGGTTGCGGGTGGGCTGTCGCCGTGGGCTAGCGTTTGCATGTTCCCGGTGAGTGCGGCCCGGCCCCGCGCTGCCGCCGCCCTGGCTCATGGGCAAAGTCGGCGCAGCGGGCTGAGTAAGTGGCGCTTTCGCGGCGCGGGCGGGCAGCCTGACAGCGGGGACGCGAGGTGGGCTGCGCTTCCCGGGGGACGCTGGGCGCGAGGCCGCGGCTTTGGGCCGTGCAGCGGGAGGCGGGGGCGTTCCGGCCTGGTCAGCCCGAGCCCCCCGGGGGAGGGTCTTCCCCTCCACGGCGGGCCCCTCCCGCAGTGCCGCGCCGTCTCCATCCCGCCCTGTGGTCCGTCTTCTCCACGCCTTCCGCTCGCAGACTCTAGCCTTCTCCCGTCGAGTCTGCCTCGGTCTGTTTGGAACTACAAGAGCGTTCCTTTTTCTCTACGTGAGCCGTGTCCTAACGAAGGTGTGCGGTTCCCACACCGCGGCAGGTCGGAGTGTGCCCCTCCCCCGCCTTGGCCTCGCACAGCGACCCCTCTCCCGGGCTCGGGAAATGGAGGGAGAAGAGCCGATGGCTTCCCGGGTCTCAGAACTGAGAGTTGCAGGTGCTGGCATCTCTCAGAGCCAGGAGCTCGCCGGGTTAGGTGAAGGCAGTCGTGATCCCGGCGCTGCCTCGGCCCTTTGTAGTCTTGAGGTTTTGAGCTGCCCCTCTTGCCTGATGAGGATGCGAGGTGAGTGAGGGTATCCTTGCTCTCCAGGAATTTGGTCCCTAGGAAGACAGGCATGAGAACCCGTACGTGGGTTGAGCTGAGCGGCGAGAGCCGGCGGGGTCTTGGGGAGGCCTCCAAAAGGAGGCGATGCTTATACCGACTCCTGGAGGTGTGGGGTGTGCAAGGTGAGGACTGGGTGCTCTGGACAAGGAATAGGTGCAAAGTGTGCAGAAGTGAAGCACTTGGCGCGTTCCGGACACTGCGGGTGAGGCAGAGAGAAAGGCTTGAGGAGGAGTGGGATCGGATCATGCAGGCAGGTCCTTTGAGAAGTCTGTGAAGGCGCCACTGAAAGTACCCAATTGCGGGGCTGGCGCTGTGGCGCAGCGGGTGTAAGCCCCGGCCTGTAGCCGGCATCCTTTGTGGGCACCAATTGCAGTCCCGGCTGTTCCACCCCCGAGGCAGCTCACGACTAATGTGCCTGGGAAAGCAGCAGAGGATGGCCCAAGCCCCTCAACTTGGGCCCCTGCACCTATGTGGGAGACCCGGAAGAAGCTCCTGGCTTCTGGCTTCCAGTTGGCTCAGCTCTGGCTGGCCGTTGTGACTGTTTGGGGAGTAAACCACTGGATGGAAGACCTCTCTCTCTCTATCTTTCAAATAAACTAAATCTCAAAAAAAAAAAAAAAAAAAAAAAGTACTTATTGCTAGAAGCAGGCATAGGATGGAAAGAGAATATTCTAGGGGCAAAGGCAGGAGTGGTAGATGAAGTCTGTGTTTCTCTTTAACAGTGTTTAAGTTAGGAGGCAACTCAGTTTCCTCCTTCTTCCTGAATATAGGCTGAGTAGAATGACTTTTAGGGAATGTGGGGTAGTAGCCTACACTGGGAACATTTTATTTTTAGGATTTTTTAAGCAGTGTGCTGTACACTGTAGAGTTTTTAGAACGGACAGTTGGGTGTGAGGTAGACAGATGTAAAAGGCATAAAAGAAGTGTTAACAGCCCAGAGCTGTTCTGTTGTGGAGTTCTGTGGAACCGAAGCTCTCCTTTATGGGGGAGTTTGAGAAAATTGTACACTCCCGAGTGTGATTTTACCTAAAGTGGATTTCTTCTTGCCTGGCTTGTTTTAAGTGACCTTTCTGTTCTTCACCAGCCGTGGATTTTTCCAGAGCTTGCCCTATTCCCCACAGGGAAGAGGTGATCCTATTCTGGTAAACTGGAGCCTTTCATAGTAACAAAATGGTCAAGAATGCTAAACGCCGAAATTCCAGGGGCACTGGCGGACTTTGCAATTCATGGTAAATTCTTCCAGCAGTCAGTAGGTCTAATACATGAGGCAGATGCCCTTTGATAGCTTATGTGTTTGTGGATGTCAGAGCGTGCCACCGCTCAGATTTCCTTTCTGTTTCTGTGTATACTTGCCATATTCTTTAGGCTTCAGGGAGGCAGCTGAAGCCTGCATTTCTATTGTGATAAAAAGGTGCTGTGTTAGCCTGCTGCTTTAGGTGCTAGAACTCACACCCTGACTCCTTAGTGATTGTATGGTGGTAGTAGCTTTTCCTCCGATGAATTTTGGTTTGCAGTTTTATTTTGTGATACTTCTCTCAAATTCTGCTTGCCTTGTGTCCTTAAAAAGCAGGTCTGCAGATTTAATTGTTTCGTAATAATGTGATTTGAATAATGCATACATTTCTACCTACTCAACGGACATTTAAGATTTATTTATTTATTTGAAAGCATTAGAGATCTTGCATCCCCTGGTTCACTCCCTAAGTGGCCACAATGACCAGGACTGAGCCAGGCCAAAGCCAGGAGCTTTGTCTGGGTCTCCCGCTTGGAAAACAGGGGCCCAAGTACTTGAGCCTTCCTCTGCTGCTTTTCACAGGCTGTTAGCAGGGAGCTAAATGGGAAATGAAGCAGCCAGTGTACAAACCAGTGCCTAAATGGGATGCTGGCATTGTGGGTGGTGCCTTTACCTGCTGCACCAAAGCACGGGCCCCTAGCAAATATTTATAGAATGCTTTTGTGTTCCAAGCATATTGCCAAGCTAGAGATCTAGAGATACTAAAGATGAGGATGAAAACAGCCCATCTTTTTGTTTGTTTGTTTGGACAGGCAGTTAGAGAGACAGACAGAGAGAAAGGTCTTCCTTTTCCGTTGGTTCACTCCCCAAATGGTTGCTATGGCCAGCGCGCTGCAGCCAGCACACCGTGCTGATCTGAAGCCAGAAGCCAGGTGCTTCCTCCTGGTCTCCCATGCGGGTGCAGGGCCCAAGCACTTGTGCCATCCTCCACTGCCCTCCCGGGCCACAGCAGAGAGCTGGACTGGAAGAGGAGCAACTAGGACAGAATCCGGTGCCCCGACCGGGACTAGAACCCGGGTTGCCGGTGCTACAGGTGGAGGATTAGCCTAGTGAGCCGCAGCGCTGGCCGAAACAGCCCATCTTTAAGGGATGTTTTTATGTATGGGGGTGGGAGGCAGTGGTGGCTTGGTGTGGTGGGTAAAGCTGCCGTCTGCAGTGCCAGCATCCCATATGGGCACCAGTTCAAGCCCTGGCTGCTCCACTTTCAATCCAGCTCTCTGCTGTGACCTGGGAAAGCAGTAGAAGATGACCCAAATCCTTGGGCCCCTGCACCTGTGTGGGAGATCCGGAAGAAGTACCTGGCTCCTGGCTTCAGATCTGCGCAGCTCTGGTGGTCGTGGCCAACTGGGGAGTGCACCAGTGCATGGAAGACCTCTCTCTTTCTGCTTCTCCTCCTCTCTCTCTCTAACTCTGACTTTCAAATAAATAAATCTCAAAAAAAAAAAAAGGCTGGTGCCGCGGCTCACTTGGCTAATCTTCTGCCTGCAGCGCTGGCACCCCGGGTTCTAGTCCCGGTTGGAGCGCCAGATTCTGTCCTGTTTGCTCCTCTTCCAGTCCAGCTCTCAGCTGTGGCCCGGGAAGGCAGTGGAGCATGGCCCAAGTGCTTGGGCCCTGCACCCCCATGGGAGACCAGGAAGAGGCACCTGGCTCCTGGCTTCGGATTGACGCAGCGCGCCTGCCATAGTGGCCATTTTGCGGGGGGGGGTGAACCAAAGGAAGGAAGACCTTTCTCTCCATCTCTCTCTCTCTTACTGTCTAACTCTGCCTGTCCAAAAAAAAAGGAGTATAAAGTAGTAGACAGCGTAGCATGTAAAGCTGCTGTGACCCCAGCTGGTTTTGTGGTAGTAATCTGAGGGTAGTTACTAAAAGCTTCTAAGATGCATGTGGGAGAAAAGGGGGTGGGATGCTTCTGAGACTTATACATGCCCTTTTTCATGCCAGTTGTGTGCTGACTTAAAAAACAAATTTCCAGGAGTGGGTATATTTTTTAGCCTAGTGGTTAAGATGCCCGCATCCCACATCGGAGTACCTGAGTTTGTTTCCCTGTTCCAACTCCTGATTCCAGCTTCATTCTGTGGTATATTCATAAATGCTTTAAATAACAGAAATAAAAATTAAATACATCTTTTAAAGAAGAGGTGCGTTTTGACTGTGTAAATACTGGGTGAGCATTTGCTGTAACGGTTAAGACACACCTTAGGATACTCCATCAGTGTCTGAGTTCGAGTCCTGGTTTAGCCCTCAATTCCAGCTTCCTGCTAATGTGCTCCCTGGGAGACGGCAGTTGATGATGGCTTTAACACCTGGATCCCTAATGAGAACCAGATTGAGTTCTGGGCCTCCTAGCTTTGGCCTGGTCCAGCCTGGGCTGCTGTGGGCATTTGGGGAGGGAACCAGCAGCTGGGAGATATCTTTCTCTCTCTGCATCTGTCTCACTAGCTTTTAAATAAATCATTTTTAAAAAATTGTGTGAATAAAGTAATATAAAAGGAGAACAACAAGGAAATAACGCAAATGGGATTCAAGGAAAGTCAGATGGATGGGTTGGGGTAGCCCATATAATTGAGCGTGGTTTCTTGTTCAAATCCTGTCTTTTGTTTTGAATGGTGAATTCACAGGTGATTTTTATATTGAAATAATTAATAAAAGCAAGCCATACATGCGTGGGTGGATTGTAACTGTGTTTTTACTATGATTAGTACAGTTCTGTGAACTTCAGTGAAAGTGAGAAAAATGAAAAAAGTTCTGTGTTTACTGTGGTGCAGAGATTCAACTTTCTAAGCTCTGTGTTACAGAAAACTAGCAGATACTGGTGAGGTGACATCAGTTTCTGTTATATAAAGTATTTTTAAAGGTTTGAGAAAACAAATGAGGAACTTGAAATGCACATAAGATTTTTCCGCATGATGGTTCTAGAACTTTCAGAGCAAAGCAATCAAAAGGAATTTAGAAATGAAACAGAACCAGAGGAGCAGCATCGTCTGATCGAATCTCGTTAATTCAGCTATGAAATGTTGTTACATATGGAAGTGTAGATGTAAGGACTCTGTTGGAGACAGAGATCCTCTGCCCTGCTTGATTTTTAGCCCCAAAATGTCGGGAGACTTATCCATCAGAGTCGACTTTTCTGGGTAGGGAGGTGTACTGGCGTTAATGTTCACTCAGCCCTCTATCCTCAATGCTGCTCCTTTGCTTATTCTTTTCTTTATAAACTTTGTATGTGTATTATAAAATATATTAAACATAAAACTTAAGATTTTAGCTTTCTGTAAGCTTGTGGTTCTGGGCATTATGTGCACTCACATTGTGCAGCTGTCACCTCTGTTTGCCTTGCACTGGAACCTGTGGACATTGCTCAGTTTCAGTACTGATTTACGTGGTTAATGTAAACTTCTGTTTCATTGTTAGCATTTTAATAAATGCTGTTTAAATGCCTACTCTGTACCAGGCATTGGAGATGCAAAAATGAATAAGGTAATCTTCCTCTCTCCCCTAAGTTAAATGGGTATTTGGTTAACCAGTTTCCATTATCACTACCATATTTGTAAAGATCTTTGAAGAAGTTCTCCGGTTTCTTACAAAGTGATACTGAGAGAAATAGACACCTAGAGTTTGACTTGAGTTGCGATGCAATTTTGATGGTTTGTGATTTTCCAGAAAGTGCCATTGTTTATTTGTTTCTCAGATTGTGTTAGTCTTCCCTTGCCATCCTAAGATTAAAGAAAACATGATCCTGTGGTTTACTGGGCTTTGATTTGGTGACCAGTTGAATAGGCAGGGCTCAAAAGCTGAAACAGAGTTAGGTGAGAGGTGCCTGGCCGTTTCTGGGTGAAGGCTAGTACATTTCTGAATTAAGTTTGTTTGGAGAATCATGGTGCCAGGATGAACACTCCGTGTTTTTCTTTGCTTCTGCTCTGAGTTTTTTCTAGATCAGAGTTCAACGATACGTTTCTGTCTAAATGAGAAGGTGAGTTTTGAATTCTAGGTAAGCTGCAGGAAAGTGCACAGAAGCCTCAGAAGCCGTGTGTATCACTGCCCAAAAATTTCTGAAGAGACGGATTGGAAGGGCTCTGTGAATTGAGTATTACCTGTGTGTGTGACCCCATTTCCTGTTTGGCTCTGGGTTGGGTGTTGATCTGGGGATAGAGCAGTGAACAGGGTAAGCTGGACCTGGCTTTTCATAGCTTAAAGTAGAATGGAGTGAAATAGGTTCAGCAGTGAGTCCCAGGGGGATTCCTTACAAAACTTTGAAGAAATAATCCTATTTGAAACGTCCTTGTTAGGGAATGGAGGTTATTACTTGATTTGGCCTCTGTGCCTCAAGATTCATGTCACAAAGCATTGCTGTTTCTGAATCAATTTGACGTTGGTGCTGAAGGCAGTGGGTCTGCTGTGTTGGATGTGCTGCCGTCAGTGGCATTGGTGAGTTGCCAGGGAGCCATATTTATGGGGAGAAGTCAGCTGCCAATACCCCAGGGCTCTGCTTTTATAAACTCAGGTCCTTCTTGTGGCCTTGGAGGCCTTTTATTTAACATCAGAGTGGAGGAGTGAGGGCACTGAAGCACTGCAGCAGTGTCCCCCAGCACTGACTTCAGGCAGGGAGCGACTGTACTGAGAACTGGAGCAGCTGCTCCAAGGGAGTCCATGCTGCTGTCCACTCTCTGCCCCTACCCTGCGTGTGTGCAGCTCAGGTCAGCTAAGGCGTCAGGAGGCAGGGCCCCTGCCCGCGGTGGGAAGGTGGAGAGGAAAGAATATACTGAAGAGAAGTATTCGCCCTGAGTCAGACCTGGGTGGGAAATTTAAATATTTTCCTTCCCTCCTTCTGAGTCACAGAGCACGGCTGCAATAGGGTTTTGTAGAAGGTGGTTTTTAGGGGAAAAAGCTTTCTGGGCTAAGAAGTGGGCCATATTGGTGGGTTTTACAATGTTAAAGATTTTTGTTGTTTAAGGTGGCAGTTGGGATTTACTAGCATGATCTAAGACTGGCTTGAAAGGGGTTTTTCATTGTACCCTCTTGCAAATTAATCCCCTAGATCCTGGTCGCCACATCTATAATCTGCTGGGTTTTAGTGGTCCCTATCACAGTTAACATTGAGCTTGGCTGGACAAGGTTAGCTCCTGTTAACTGATACTGTTTTTGTTGTTGTATATTCAGCTATTCTCCAACGATATTGTGTATTTATTGCACAGTCACATGTAGATTGTTGATTGTCTTTTTATAATCAGTGTCCTAAAAGATTATAAATTCTACTTGATGGGTTGTGAGGAAGTCAGAGTATTTAAGATATAACCATCCACTCCCCCCTCAACAGTCATTATTTACAAAATTAAAGAATTTCTGAGATGATGTCTATTTGTTCTTCAAATATTCTTCAAACAATTCTTGAGAATTGTTAATTTGTTGTTGTTGTTACTATAAAAGGATAGCTAATTGTGGTAAACTAAACCTGGTAATTGGTGTTTTTTAAGCATCTACTTTTTGCTATTGAGATAAATGGAATTTTTTAAAAATCAGATATGTATAGGGCTAGTGTTGTGGTGCAGCAGGTTAGGCTACCACCTGTGATGCCTGAATCCTATATGAGCAACTATTCGAGTTCTGGCTGCTCCACTTCTGATCCAGTTTCCTGCTAATGTGCCTGGGAAAACAGCAGAAGATGGCCCAAGGCCTAAGTGGTTGGGCTCTTGTCACCCCATGGGAGACCCAGATAGATTTTGAAGTTCTTAGCATTAGTGTGGGTCGGCCTTGACTGTTGCAGCCATTTGGGGAGTGAACCAGCAGATGGAAGATCCCTATCTCTGTATCTTCCTCCCTTCTCCCCCCGCCCCCCACTGTAATTCTGCCTTTCAAATTTTTTTTTTTTTAAATCAGATCTATGTAAATAATTATTCCCTAAATCTAGAACTTCTTTCCATCTTAACCTCATTATATACCACGGAACCAAAGGATTTCATTCTTGAATCACTTGAACACATGATCTTATAGGTAGAAAAAGTAATTCTAGAGATTTATTTTTAAAATAATTTATGGTCAAAATTTCATATACCTAGAGTAAGCTCTGCACTGGAGATTTAAGTCTTGGCATCCGTCCTAAAGGGTGCTGGACCTTTACCTGCAGAATTCCATGATGCTAAGGAAAAACTTTGACATCTTTATTGTATTTTGCACTCGTTAATCCCTGCCCCTCTTGCCTTTCAGCATTAAAATGAAAAGATGTCCTTGTACGACGATCTAGGAGTGGAGACCAGTGACTCAAAAACAGAAGGCTGGTCCAAAAACTTCAAGCTTCTGCAGTCTCAGCTTCAAGTGAAGAAGGCAGCTCTCACTCAAGCAAAGGTAAAGACAAGCTCGGGATGTGAGAGCAGATGTCTGCGGGGTGGGGTCCTGGTAGGACTAGGAGTAATTTGGTCTTTGCTTGCTCTTCTGCCTTTTTATTGGGTGAGTAGTGTTAAACATTTATAGGAGAGGATTGAAGAGTTTAAAATCATCTACTTCTCTTGGTTCTTTGAAATGCAAATATTTCTCGGAATAGGAGTGAAGAAAAGTAGTATTCTCAACTTCCAGCAATGACACTTGTTTTTAAACTTCAGTATGTCTACCATTGACTAGAATGTATTTAAAATGCTGATTCTGTAGCCATATTCCCAATGTTGGTAAATTCTGGTTCTGGGCTGGGGCCTCAAAAGTGTAGTAGTATTTTTTTTTTTAAGGTAAGTTATGGGGCCAGCATTGTGGCACAGGGGATGCATCTAGTATGTGTGCTGGTTTCGGTTTTAGCTGCTCCATTTACAATCAAGCTCCCTGCTTATGTGCCTGGGAAAGCAGTGGAAGATGGCCCAAGTGCTTGGACCCCTGTCATCCATGTGGGACCCAAATGATCTTTTTAAAAAAAATCATCTAAAGATAAGTTATTGTAGGTGTGCTCGGTTTTCTTTTCTTTTCTCTCTCTCTCTTTTTTTTTTTTTTTTTTTTTAGAGATTTGTTTATTTATTTGAAAGAGTTAGGAAGAAACAAAGAGAAAGAGGTCTCTGGTTCTCAAGTAGCCTTGACTTGGGTGAAGCCAGGAGCCATGGGCTCCATCTGAATCTCCCACATGGCTGGCAGGGGTTGAAGTACTTGGGCTGTCTTCTGCTGCTTTCTCAGGCACATTAGCAGGGAGCTGGATAGGAAGTGAAGTCTCTAGAACTTGGGTCCTGAACCAGTGCTTCAGTACAGAACGCTGTCATCGCAGGTGCCAACTTAACCCACTGTGCCACAATACCAGCCCCAGAAGTGTGCGTTTTTTTGTTTTTGTTTTTGTTTTTTTTTTTGACAGGCAGAGTGGACAGTGAGAGAGAGAGAGACAGAGAGAAAGGTCTTCCTTTGCTGTTGGTTCACTCTCCAATGGCCACCGCGGCCGGCGCACCGCGCTGATCCGATGGCAGGAGCCAGGAGCCAGGTGCTTTTCCTGGTCTCCCATGGGGTGCAGGGCCCAAGCACCTGGGCCATCCTCCACTGCACTCCCTGGCCACAGCAGAGAGCTGGCCTGGAAGAGGGGCAACCTGGGACAGAATCCAGTGCCCTGACCGGGACTAGAACCCGGTGTGCCGGCGCCGCTAGGCGGAGGATTAGCCTAGTGAGCCACGGCGCCGGCCCAGAAGTGTGCGTTTTTAAGTAGCATTCCTTCTGTATGTTATGGAAGCTTTGAAATCAGCACTTTCAGGTACTCTGTAGCATCATCATAATAATGTGTATACATTTCTGGGGATGCAGATTTGTTTTGAATGTGTCAGGTATATGTCATTTCGGTGGTAGTCGGTTTTTTTTTTGTACATGTTAAACATTGAAAATATCTTCAAAATAATTCAGTATGTAAAGCAGTAGCATGGTTGTCAACTGATTATTTGTTTTTTAAGTGTGTCAAATATTTTTAAGAATGAGAATGGTATTGGACTTTATGTTGTTTTAAGGGTTCTTATGTTTTAGAACATGCATCCTTAATGGAGACTGTATCCTTCCCCACCCCTCAAACTGAGTGAATGTTGATCTTTAAGTGGTGAAAAAAAATCTTGGTCTTTTTATGTATAAAGCACAGATGCATGCATCTGTAGTGTTAACATTTCATGAGTAGAAAAAAAATGTGTAAAAGGACTTCTTGAGAGAAAAGCAATAATGAGAAACAAGTTGAAAAAAAATGACTTGAGAGATACATAGTAAAATATTTACTGATAAAATGACTTAATTTCTGAAATTTACTTAAAATAATTTAGTCTCAAATAGGAGAGATAAGTGTATATATTAACATTGCTAATTGTTGGAACTGGATGGTAGAAATTTGAGAATTCAATAATCTTTTTTATTAACATGTAATGCTTGTACATTTTTATGGAGCATAGTGTGGTATGATCAGATCAGATAATTAGCATTTCCATTACTTTATGTTTGGACCCTTTAAGCTCCTTTCTTCTAGTTCTTCCTGAACTGTATGTTATTGTGAACTGTGGTAACCCCACTGCTGTGGAACAGTAGAGCTTATTCCTTCCATTTAGCTGTATTTTGTTACTTTTATCTAATAGCTCTCTCTATCCTTCTCCATCCCCTTAACTACCCCAACCCCTGGGAATCACGGTTCTGTTTTCAGATGAGCATTATTAAGGCTCCATATATGAGAAGGAACATGGTATTTATCATTCTGTGTCTGGCTTATTTCACTTAATGCAATGTCCTCCAGTTCCATCCATTTTACTGCAAGTGACAGGATTTCATTTTTTTACGATTGAATATTTTATTGTATATATACACACACCTTTTCCTTATCCATTGCTGGACTTCCTGTTGATCCTATATTTTGGCTTTTTGAGTAGTGCTGCAGTAAACCTGGGAGTGCAGGTATCTCTGACAGTTTAACAATATTAATTCCTCCCATTTTTTTTCCTGTGTGTTCAGAATCCTTGATCAGTGTTTTGTACTTTGTATTATAGAGGTCTTTGCCATCCTTGGTTAAGTTTATTCCCAGGCTTTTAATCTTTTTGTAGCTATTGTGAGTGGGCTTGCTTTCATGATTTCTTTGTTAGCAAGTTGGTTATTAATGTATTAAAATGATCTTGTTTTTTCTGTTAATTTTATATGCTGCAATTTACAGAGTTTTTCAGTTCTACAGTCTTTTGGCAGTCTTTAGGTTTTTCTGTTCAGAGAATCATGTTGTCTGCAAACAAGGATCATTTGACTCCTCTTCCTTTTTGTAGGCTTTTTTTTTTTTTTAGGTTTATTTATTTGAAAGGTGGAGTCTAACAAAGAGACAAAGAAAAATCTTCCACCCATGGGTTCATTCCCCAGATATCTACAATGATCAGGGCTGGACCAAACCAAAGCCAGGAGTTTCTTCCAGGTGTCTCGCACTGGGGGCAGGAGCCCAAGCACTTGAGCCATCTTCCCCTGCCTTCCCTTGCCATTACCAGGGAGCTGGATCGGAAGTGGAGCAGCTAGGACTTGAACCAGCGGCCATATAGGATCCTGGTGTTTCAGGTGGCACTTCACCTGCTGTACTACAACACCAGTCCCTGTAATGCCTTTTGTATTTTCTCTTGCCTGATGACTATTGCTAAAACTTCCAGTACTGTATGAAATAAAAGTGGTGCAATGGACAACCTTGGCCAGTTAAAAATCTTACAGGAAATGCTTCCAGCTTTTCCCCATTCAGTATGCTATTGACTGTGGGTAGTCTTCATTATTTTGAGATATGTCCCTTTTGTACCAGTTTGTAAGACTCTTTATTTTTTTAATCATAAATGGATTTTTATGGAACATTTTTTCTGGGGGAGATGACTATATAATTTGTATCCTTCATTCTGTTGATGTAATGTGTTATGTTTATTGATTTGTGTGTGTTGAATCATCCTTGCATCCCTGGGATAATCCCCCCTGATTGTAGTAAATATCTTTGTGCTGTTGAATTTTGTGTTGGTTATATTAGGTTGAAAATTTTTATTATCTATGCTCATCAAGGATATTGGTCTATGGTTTTCTTTTTGTTATATTTTTGGTTTTGGCAATGCTCGCCTTGTAGAATGAGTTTGAAAGAGTGTTCGCCTTGTCAAATTTCTTTTTAATAGTTGGAGAAGAATTAGTGCTATTTCTTCCTTAAAAAGAACTCAGCAGTAAAGCTGTCTCATCCTGGTGTTTCGGTTTTTGCATTTGAAAGGCATATGATAGTAAGGTTTATTGTATTTGAAAGGCATATGATAGTAAGTAGGAGAGACAGAAATCATCCATCTGCTGGTTCAGTCCCCAAATGGCTCAACAGCTGGGGCTAAGCCATACCAGAGCCAGGAATTCCATCCAAGTCTCCCATTCAGGCAGCAGGAACCCAAGTACCTGGACATCATCCACTGTCCCGATTGCACCAGTAAAAAGCTGGACAGGGGACTGGAGCTGTGGCGTAGTGGGTAAAGCTGCCGCCTGCAGTGCTGGCATCCCATGTGGGCTCTGGTTCAAGTCCCGGCTGCTCCACTTCGGATCTAGCTCTCTACTGTGGCCTGGGAAAGCCGTGGAAGATGGCCCAAGTGTTTGGGCCTCTGCCACCCATGGAGGAGACCTGGAAGAAGCTCCTGGCTTCAGCCTGGCCCAGCTCTAGCTGTTGCTGTATCTGGGGAGTGAACCAACAGATGGACTTTCTCTCTGTCTCTTTCAAATAAATAAATAAATTTTTTTTTTTTTTTGGCAGGTAGAGTTATAGATAGAAAGACGGAGAAAAAGGTCTTCCTTCCGTTGGTTCACTCCCCAAGTGGCCGCTACGGCCAGTGCTGCGCTGATCTGAAGCCAGGAGCCAGGTGCTTCCTCCTGGTCTCCCATGCGGGTACAGGGCCCAAGCACTTGGGCCATCCTCCACTCCCCTCCTGGGCCACAGCAGAGAGCTGGACTGGAAGAGGAGCAACCATGACTAGAATCTGGTGCCCAATAAATAATCATTAAAAAAAAAATAGTGGGGCCAGCACTGTGATGCAGCAGGTTAACACCCTGCCCTGAAGCGCCGGCATCCGACATGAGCGCCAGTTCAACACCCGGCTGCTCCACTTCCAATCCGGCTCTCTGCTGTGGCCTGGGATAGCAGTAGATGGCCCAAGTGCTTGGGCCCTGCACCGGCAGGGAGACCAGGAGGAAGCACCTGACACCTGGCTTCGGATCGGTGCGGTGCCGTCCATAGCGGCCGTTTGGGGCGTGAACCAACAGAAGGAAGACCTTTCTCACTGTCTTTCTCTCTCACTGTCTATAACTCTACCTGTCAAATTGAAAGAAAAAAAAATGAAAGGGCACCATCTCACCTGTGAAGAATTGCCTTAAAGCTTTACCCTGAATTGAATGAAGCCTTTAACTTTTGGTCTTTAGGAGTTGATAGGCATAAAGGAATGAGTTAAGCTAGATCACCAGACAGTTACTAGACAGATCTAGAGTGTGGGGCATTTTTACAAGACGGTGTCTAGGAAAAAAGGAAGGAGATGAAAATGGTGGTGGTGGTTCATGGAAGAGAGACTTCTAAGTCAAGACACTTAAAAAACAAATGTCTGGGCCAGTGCCGCGGCTCAATAGGCTAATCCTCCACCTGCGGCGCCGGCATACCAGGTTCTATCTAGTTCCAGTCAGGGTGCTGGATTCTGTCCCAGTTGCTCCTCTTCTAGTCCAGTTCTCTGCTGTGGCTTGGGAGTGTAGAGGAGAATGGCCCAAGTTTTGGGCCCTGCACCTGCATGGGAGACCAGGAGAAGCACCTGGCTCCTGGCTTTGGATCAGCGCGGTGCGCCAGCCGCAGCGCCCGTTGAGGGGGTGAACCAACAGAAAAAGGAAGAGCTTTCTCTCTGTCTCTCTCTCTCACTATCCAGTCTGCCTGTTAAAAAAAAAAAGGGGGGGGGGGTCTGGTGCTGTGGCATAGAAGATTGAAGCACTAAGTGCCGGCATTCCATATGGGTGCAGGTTCAAGTCCTGGCTGTTCCTTTTTCTTTTTCTTTTTTTTTTTTTTTTTTTTTTTTTTTTTGACAGGCAGAGTGGACAGTGAGAGAGAGAGACAGAGAGAAAGGTCTTCCTTTGCCGTTGGTTCACTCTCCAATGGCCGCCACGGCCAGCGCGCTGTGGCCAGCGCACCTTGCTGATCCGATGGCAGGAGCCAGGTACTTATCCTGGTCTCCCATGGGGTGCAGGGCCCAAGGACTTGGGCCATCCTCCACTGCACTCCCTGGCTACAGCAGAGAGCTGGCCTGGAAGAGGGGCAACCGGGACAGAATCCGGTGCCCCAACCAGGACTAGAACCCCGTGAGCCACGGCGCCGGCCAGCTGTTCCTTTTTCCGATCTGGCTCTCTGCTGTGGCCTGGAAAGGCAGTGGGGGAGTGAACCACCGGATGGAAAACCTCCCTCCCTTGCTTCCTCCCTCCTTCCCTATCTCTCTTTCTCTCTCTGTAAAAAAAAAAAAAAAAAAAAAAAAAATCTGGGGCTGACACTTTGGCCTAGTAGGTAAAGCCGCAGCCTCCAGTGCTGGCATCCCATATGGGCGCCAGTTCGAGTCCTGGCTGCTCCACTTCAATCCAGCCCTCTGCTACAGCCTAGGAAAGCAGTAGAAGATGGCCCAAGTCCTTGGGCCCCTGCACCCACATGGGAGACTCAGAAGAGGCTCCTGGCTTTGAATCTGCACAGCTCTGGCAGTTACAGCCAGTTGGGGAATGAACCAGCAGATGGAAGAGACCCCCCCCCCCCCCCCCGTCTGCCTCTCTGCCTCTCTACCTCTCTACCTCTCCTATCTGTGTAACTCTGAGCTTCAAATAAGTAAATAAATCTTAAAAAAAAAAAAAAAAAAAAAAAACAACAACACTAACTTCTAGAACTTTGAGAAAAAATATTTAACAAAATGTCTTTCAGAAACTTTGATAGGAACCTGATGTTTTAAAAAAATCAGATGTTTAAAAGATAGTTTGGGGCCAGCACTGTGGGTGGCATAGAGGGTAAAGCTGCCACCTACAGTGCCGGCATCACATGGGGCACTGGTTCCTGTCCCGGCTGCTCCATTTCCAATCCAGCTCTCTGCTGTGGCCTGGGAAAGCAGCAGAGGATGGCCCAAGTACTTGGGCCCCTGCACCTGTGTAGGAGACCCAGAAGAAGTGCCTGGCTCCTGGCTTCAGATCAGCTCAGCTCCGGCCATTGCCACCAATTGGGGAGTGAACCAGTGGATGGAAGACTCCCCCTCTCTCTCTCTCTCTCTCTCTGCCTCTCCTCCTCTCTGTGTGTAGCTCTGACTTTCAAATAAATAAATATTAAAAAAAAAAAAAAACTACTTAGGGACAGATTAGGAATTACTGAATTATTGATTTTGTTATGTGTGGTAATATAATAATGTGAGAAAGTGTCCTTAGTTTTAGGGAATTAGGTATAAATGTCCTAATGTCACCAACTTTCAAAAGATTCAGAAAAAAAAGTATTCGTATATGGTAAAGAAAATATGATAAAACATAAGGAATGGTAGAATGTATATGAATGACATTTTTTAAAAATTTTTTTTCTATAAGTTCATAATAAAAAAGGGCAGGATTGTATGTCCTAGGAAGAGGGAAAATGACACTTATCCTCAAGTGTCTTTTTTTGCCCAGGATATAAAACCATACCCATTCCTTGTGAAAGATACATACAACTTAAATTGTAATGTGCTAGGGCCGGTGCTGTGGCGCAGCGGGTTAACGCCCTGGCCTGCAGTGCCAGCATCCCATATAGGCGCCGATTCAAGATCCGGCTGCTCTGCTTCCAGTCTAGCTCTCCAATCCCACTTATGGCCTGCGATAGCAGTAGAAGATAGCCCAAATCCTTGGGACCCTGCACCCATGTGGGAGACCTGGAAGAAGCTCCTGGCTCCTGGCTCCTGGCTTCGGATTGGTGCAGCTCTGGCCGTTGCAGCCAACTGGGGAGTGAACCAGTGGATGAAAGACCTCTCTCTCTCTCTCTCTCTCTGTGCTTCTCATCTCTCTGTGTAACTCTGACTTTCAAATAAATAAATTAATTAAAAAAAAAATTGTAATGTGCTACAGATTTGCTCTCCTGTGGTCTAAGGGAAAATCCAATGTAGAACTTTTTTTTGCATGTTAATTTTACATAGAAGTTTAAATTTTACTGTAAGCCTCTCCAAAAAAAGATGGAAATCTGTTGGTTTTTTGAAAGGCCTAATAAATTCGTATATGATTGTAGTAATTTAATTAAAAGGTAATTGTTTTAAGGTTATTGTTTTCTCATGCCTCAAAGATTTATTAGATTAGAAAAAAATTTTGTGACAAAGAATATGAATTTTAATTTGAAACTTCGGTGTACTTCTCTTGTTTCTGATCATTTTAGAGCCAAAGAACAAAACAAAGTACAGTGCTTGCCCCAGTCATTGACCTGAAGCGAGGTGGCTCCTCAGATGATCGTCAAATTGTGGACACACCACCACATGTAGCAGCTGGGCTAAAGGTAAGCCCACACCTGATCTGTGACTTTGATACATACACACACACATACCTGTTCTTAGAGGACCTTCAGTTATGATGTTAAGCTGAGATGCAGCCTACCTGGGGAGAGATGTGTGTCCAGAGGATTTAAGAAGACCAGGAAAATGCTTCTGAAACCATAATATGTTATTCACAATGTGATCAGAAATGCAATCAGAATCTAAAGTTATTCTCAGTGATGACTACAAAAATGATTATGCTGTCCATGGCTTGTTTGAAGTTTTCTTTATGTTGTTTCTTTTAAGTTTTCCCAGAGGTATAGAAAAATTGAAATATTTGTTGTTGTTACTGTAAATAATCAAGAATTTTGCTTCAGAGTACTAGTGTCTTAAATTTTGTTTGGTAGTGGCTTATTGAAGAATAAATGCTCTTGGGTGTTAGGATAATATAGTGCTAAACTAAAAGTTAAAAGTCATGATTCTGGCCAGCGCCACGGCACACCGGGTTCTAGTCCCGGTCGGGGCACCGGATTCTGTCCCGGTTGCTCCTCTTCTAGTCCAGCTCTCTGCTGTGGCCTGGGAGTGCAGTGGAGGATGGCCCAAGTGCTTGGGCCCTGCACCCGCATGGGAGACCAGGAGGAGCACCTGGCTCCTGGCTTTGGATCAGCGCGGTGTGCCGGCCGCAGCGGCCATTTTGGGGGTGAACCAACGGAAAGGAAGACCTTTCTGTCTCTCTCACTGTCCACTCTGCCTGTCCAAAAAAAAAAAAAAAAAAAAAAAGTCATGATTCTGCTGCTACCTGACTGAGTCATCCTGGAAGATATGGAGATAATATTTTGATGTTTTTATCTTTCTCAGGACCCTGTTCCCAGTGGATTTTCTGCAGGAGAAGTTCTGATTCCCTTAGCTGATGAATATGATCCCATGTTTCCTAATGATTATGAGAAAGTAGTGAAGCGCCAAAGAGAGGAACGACAGAGACAGCGGGAGCTGGAAAGGCAAAAGGAAATAGAGGAAAGGGAAAAGTAAGGCTTTGTTTGGATTGGGGCTCTTTTGCAGTTGAAATATTTATTAAAATATTAGAGAATGAACTTCAGTGCTTAAGACTGAAATTAATTGTCATGATTGGTCTGAGCAGTCAACAGAAGGAATCAAATTTTTTTCCGAGTTTGTAGTTGTGATGTCTCGGCATGTGAGCAGACTGAGTAAATTTCATTATAGACTCTGAAAACCTGAAGTACCGATTTTGAGTGATTTATTAGAAAAATAATTTTGAGATCTGATGTTGAAGGCGTTTTTCCTGTGCGATGACTACTAGAAGTACCACGGTTTAAATGTTTCTAACTTCACTATTTTGGAGCAAGATGGAATTTCTTTAAACTTACATGCATCTTTTTATTTTTAAAAAGTATGGGTGGCAGGATTTTTTTTAAGTTTTTATGTTATTAAATAGTTTATTAAATATTGCATTGTTACTCATTGAACCATTTCTAGAAAATTGAAACTATTAAATTATTACTATGTTGATAGGCTTTATAATAGAAGGTGGTAAATGTTAAGGAAACTTTTCTTGCTAACTGTACTCATGTACCTATTCATTTTTATCTTTTGAGGTTTTCTCACTTTTCATGCTTTGCTAAATTTAATCTTCAAACAGTTGTGTCCTTGTGTCCATCTGTGCCTTCCCCCTCCCCAATTCGTAGTAATTTATTGTTTAAGAGGATTTGAATATTTTCTGGCCAGGAGGAAAGGCAAGATGATATCACAGGTTCTATCTCTAGTGTGACTCACCTATGATGAATATTTACTTCTTTTGTTCTCACAGGCGGCGTAAAGATAGACATGAAGCTAGTGGGTTTTCAAGGCGACCTGACCCAGATTCTGATGAAGATGAAGATTATGAGCGGGAGAGGAGGAAAAGAAGTAAGGCACTGATAGAAATATTATGTTTCAAGCGTGGTGTAGTCCCACTATTTGCTTTTTATACTCAGGTTGATAAGTAGCTTATTTGACATTGGTTTAGGTGGCTTTTCTTTCTGGAATCCCAGCAATCCATTTGCTGCACAACAATTTAAGTTTCTACTGTGTTCTCATATATTTTCTTTTGAGCTTCTGAGTACAGTTGTATTTCTGGTCATCATTCCTGGAAGTAGAGTCAAGCACACCAATGCATGTGAGTTACACGCGTGGATTTAAGGAAGCTACTTAGCTTTCTGGGTGTTGATTGCTTTCAACCTGTCAGTGAGAAAGTGGGACGACAGGAGTTGGAGCTAGGTGCTGAAGAGTCATTCCATCTCTATACTTTTATGAGCAAAATTGTAATTGTTTTTGAGATATATTCTTCAAAAACCAAAATTACTTGAGAAAAAGATCCAGTGTATTGATTTGCTTTGCAGATGCCCCAAGGGCCTGGAATCAGGGCCAAAGATAAGAGCCAGAAGAACTCAATCCTGGGTCTTACTTGTGGGTGGAAGGAGCCCAGTCAGTTGAGCCATCACTGTTGCCTCCCTGGGTCTGCATTCGCAGGAATCTGGAGCAAATGGGAGCCAGGGATCAAACCCCAGATAAATTCCTCAAGATGAAATTTTTTTTTGAGAAGCCGAATTAAGACAGAGGTGAGACACAAGAGAAAATTTTCCCATCTCCTGTTCACTCCCCAAATGGTGAGAGCTGGGCCCATCCAAAGCCAGGAGCTTATTCCTTATCTTTTATGGGGTGCAGGGGCCTAAACCCTTGGGCATCTTTCCACTGCTTTCCAGGCTATAAGTGAGAGCTGGATACGAAGAAGAGCAGCAAGGACCTGAACCAGCACCCATATGGGATGCTGGCACTGCAAGTGAAGGCTTAACCTACACCACCACAGTGTCGGCCCCCTCAACATGAATTCTTAATAATTATTAGGAGTGTTCTAATGGGAATTGAGAGAATGGGGCATGCTTTATTATTATTATTATTATTATTATTATCATTATTTGTTTTTGTGAAAGATTTAATTTATTTTGAGAGGTAAAGTTAACAAACAGAGAAGGAGAGACAGAGAGCAAGGTCTTCTATCCACTTGTTCAGTTCCCAAATGGCAGCAGTGGCCAGAGCTGGGCTGATCTGAAGCCAGGAACAGGAGCTTCTTTTGGGTCTCCTATGCAGATGCAGGGACCCAAGCACTTGGGCCATCTTCCACTGCTTTCCTAGGCCATAAGCAGAGAGCTGGATCAGAAGAGCAGCAACCAAGACATAAATTCATATGGGATGCTGGCGCTAAAGTAGAGGCTTAGCCTACTATGCCAAAGCACCATGGACCACTTTTGTTTTTTATAGGTTTATTTTCTTTATTTGAAAGGCAGAATGTGAGAGAGAGAGAGATCTTCGTATCCACTGGTTCACTCCGCAAAATGGCCACAATGGCCTGTGCTGGGCTGGGCCAAAGCCAGGAGCCAGAAGCTTGATCCAGGAGCAGCTAGGTCTCAAACCAGCACCCGTATTACCAGCACTGCAGGCAGTAGCTTTACCCGCTGCACCACAATGCTGGCCACTTGTGTTGTATTTCATATCCATTATCTCTGTTGAGCAACTGGTGTTTCATTTCTGTTAGCATTTTTTATTGGTTAAATGTTTATCAGCTCATCTTTCCAGTTTATAAGTTGACTGTTCTTTTTTAAGAACATTATTAAAAACTTTTATTTTTTCTTAAACGTTGTTAGGAACTATAATGCCTTTTATAAAAAGAGCTTCTAGGCTGGCGCCACGGCTCACTTGGCTAATCCTCCGCCTATGGCGCTGGCACCCCGGGTTCTAGTCCCAATCGGGGCGCCAGATTCTGTCCTGGTTGCTCCTCTTCCAGTCCAGCTCTCTTCTGTGGCCCGGGAAGGCAGTGGAGGATGGCCCAAGTGCTTGGGCCCTGCATCCACATGGGAGACCAGGAGGAAGCACCTGGCTCCTGGCTTTCGAATCAGCGCAGCAGCCATTTTGGGGGTGAACCAACGGAAAGAAGACTGTTCTCTCTGTCTCTCTCTCACTGTCTAACTCTGCCAGTCAAAAAAAAAAAAAGAGCTTCTATTGACCCTTGTAGCCAATATTATATCCATGGATATGCTAGTGTCCCCGTTACCTGCAGTTTTGCTTTCTGAGGTATCTGATAAGTTGCACATGGTAAACCACAGACTAAAGATATTTTGTGTGTATATATATATATACAAAAAATATACAAAATATTGTATAGTACAATAATATTTTGTGAAAGGGAAAAAACCATATTATATATAACTTGTTAATGTATGTGATTGTAATTGTCCTGTTGCATTATTAGTTATTGTTGCTAATCTCTTAAACTTTATCATAGGAGTACATATATTATAGGAAAAAAGTTATATAGTGCTTGATCTCTTTTTTTTTTTTTTTTGAAGGCAGAGTTAGAGAGACAGAGAGAGAGGTCTTCCATCTGCTGGTTCACTCCCCAGTTGGCCACAACGGCCAAAGCTGAGCTAATCAAAGCCAGGAGCCAGGAGCTTCTTCCAGGTCTCCCACATGGGTAAAGGGGCCCAAGGCCTTGGGCCATCTTTTCTGCTGCTCTCCCAGGCGATAGCAGACAGCTGGATCAGAAGTGGTGCAGCTGGGACTCGAACCAGCAGCCATATAGTGTTTGATTCTATGTGCAGTGTTTCAGGTGTCTGGGAAATGTCTTGGGTGCATATTCCTGTGGATAAAGAGGGTCTACTGTACTGCTATTAACAGATAGGGCATGCTCATATTTTAACTTGGTTAGTAGCAGATTTGTAGTAGTCAACCTGAATTTTTTATGCTGACCTTATTAGTCTGCTTTTCACAGAGTCCCATCAATAATCACCTCAGGTCTTAAAAGATTAAAAAACTACCACAGGAGTAATTCAAAAGGAATATATATGGGGGCCGGTGCTGTGGCGCAGTAGGCTAATCCTCTGCCTGTGGCGCCAGCATCCCATGTGGGTGCCGGTTCAAGTCTTGGCCGCCCCTCTTCCAATCCAGCTCTCTGCTATGGCCTGGGAAAGCCGTCAAGGATGGCCCAAGTCCTTGGCCCCTGCACCCACTTGGGAGACTCGGAAAGCATTTTCCCGGCTCCTGGCTTTGGAGCAGTGCAGTTCCCGGCCGTTACAACCATTTGGGGAGTGAATCAGCGGAAGGAAAACCTTTCTCTCTGCCTCTCCCTTTCTCTGTCTGTAACTGCCTTTCAAATAAACAAATAAAATCTTTAAAAAAAATACTTATGGAGACTTTCTGTGGATTTATTTATCCTCAGTAATTTGTAACAGCCAGTCTGATTAATCACAATGCATCTATACTGAATTTAAAGTAATTACTATTGTGAAATATTTTAAATTCATGCAGCATAATTTATAAACAACTTTTAAAATTTCCATTTTACTTTTTTTAATCTATACTAATATGGTAGGATATACATGTAATGAAAATTCCTTATAGCTTCTGCCTGTGTTCTGCCTTCAATTGTTGGATAGAAAATGGGAAAAAAAAACCTTACCTTTTGGTTGATTTGTATCCCCCATTTCCATGCAATAACATAAACAGGAAGGAATACTGACAGCACCTGCCAGGTTCTTCAGGAGCCAGAAGGACTCACACTTCCAAATTGGTGTTCAGTTCCAGGACTAACCTGCTGTGTCATTGGGGAAAGCTTTGGTGTGATAGGGAACTGAGTTTATTTCTTTTCTGCCAGTTTATTCATTTCTGACCATTTTCTCATCTGTAAACTGGAAATAGTAACCTACTTCAAAGGTTTATGAAGACCAGAGGAGATCATGTATAAGTCTGGAATGCGTAATTTTTCCTTGAAAATCACTTGGTAACTACATTCTAGGTTTTGTTGTTGTTGTTAAGATTTATTTACTTGAAGGGCACAGTTACAGCTTCCATCCCTGGTTCACTCCCACGTGGCTGCAAGGACTGAGCCAAACTGAAGCCAGGACCCAGGAGCTTCATCTGGTTCTCCCATGTGGTCCAGGGGCCTAAGCAGTTGGGCCATCTGCTGCTGCTTTCTCAGGCATATTAGCAGGGGCCTGGATTGGAAATGGAACAGCCGGACTCAAACCAGTACTCACATGCGATGCGGTCATTGCAGTTGGTAGCTTTAATGTCATAGTGCCAACCCCAATTCTGAGGTTCCTGAATGCCTTTCAAAAGAAACAGTTTTGTCTGTCTGGATGTTACCCGTTCTCTTCATTCTTTTTTTAAGTTTATTTTTTTGAGAGACAGAGCTCCCAAACATTGGCCTACTCCCCAAATGCCCACAACAACCTGAATTCTGGGCTGAAGCCTGGAGCCAGGATCTCAGTCCGAGTCTCCCATGTGGTAGCAGGGACCCAACTACTTGAGCCATCACTGCTGCTTTCCGCATCAATAGGAAGCTGGAATCAGGAGCTGAGGTTTAACCTAGGGACTCTGACATGGAATGTGGGCATCCTAACCAGTATTGTAACTACTGTGCTAAACACCTGACTCGATTTCTACATTTGTAATCCTAACTTCAGATACTCAGTTATTTAGGGATTAGCAGAAATATGGAAGTACCAGGTCTTCGTCTTTTTTCTTTTTTTCCCTCCCCTTAAGGATATGTTGATAGAAAGAACAGAGCCTGTTAAAGTCCTTGGGAGTCAGGCATCGGAAACATTTTTCTTCCCTCCTTTCATCTGTGTATTTGTTTTTGCAGGTATGGGCGGTGCTGCCATTGCCCCACCTACTTCTCTTGTAGAGAAAGACAAGAATGTACGTAGAACCATTTCTTCCCCTTTTATTCTGCTATAAATTGTTAACCTAGTTATGAGGATTCATAGGTTGATCACTGTTTCCTGGGTTTAGAAGGAAGCAGCCTGACCCTTCAGGCTGAAGGTGAGCCAGAGCTGCTGCTGTCTTCCACCCCTGCTACTTTTAGACCTTTTTAAACTGATAGCTGTTTTATTTATGACCTTCCACAAAGGGCAGTACTTTCTTGGTTAATTTGTTCCCAGTAGGTTGTTTCAGAGTGAGTGTGTGTGCCTGTGTAAGTATGGTGCCCACACTGTTTCTTCTCCCAGTGGGGATTGGGACTGAACTTTTCT